GGGCTACAACGACTCGCAGTTCTACGGCCAGGATGGTGTCATCTGTTTTCGCGGTGAAAGGTGAGTTGACCACAATAATATATGGGTACTCAAAAAGTATATAAACAATATCATCTTCCACAGATATCCCCTGGGAGGCTGCGAACTGCCCAGCTTCACCAAGTGGGTGGAGAAAAAGTTTGATCTGCGAGTGGATCCCACCAAGCCGTATCCCCAGCTACCGAGATCATATCCACGCCCAGTGGAAAATGCACCCTTCCTGCGCGAACTGAAGGGCACCACCAAGGTGGATCACTCCCTGGAGGGAATCGATCGGCTGGTGCGATGTCATGGCCAAACCCTCAACGACATATACAGCCTGTGGCACCACAAGTTCCAGCGGATTCCCGATTTGGTGGTGTGGCCCCGCTGCCACGATGAAGTGGTTCAGTTGGTTCGTCTGGCCCATAAACACGATGTGATGCTGGTGCCTTTTGGTGGGGGAACGAGTGTTTCGGGAGCCATCACCTGTCCCCAGAACGAGAGTCGGATGATCTGCGCCCTGGACACCTCCCAGATGAACAGACTACTATGGCTGAACCGGGAAAACCTCACCGTTTGCTTTGAGTCCGGCATTGTGGGTCAGGATCTGGAGAGGGTGTTACGGAACGAAGGTCTGACGGTGGGTCACGAACCGGATTCCTATGAGTTCAGCACGCTGGGCGGCTGGGTGGCCACCCGTGCATCTGGAATGAAAAAGAACGTCTATGGCAACATCGAAGATCTGGTGGTGCGAGTCAGGATGGTCACGCCCTCGGGAACCCTGGAACGGGAATGCAGTGCACCTCGTGTGAGTTGTGGACCTGATTTCAACCACCTCATCCTGGGATCCGAGGGCACGCTAGGAGTAATCACCGAGGTGGTGCTCAAAGTGCGTCCCCTGCCAAAGGTTAGGCGTTACGGATCCCTGGCCTTCCCAGACTTCGAGCAGGGAGTGCTCTTCATGCGCGAAGTGGCCAGGAGGAGATGCCAACCCGCCTCTGTTCGGCTCATGGATAACGAGCAGTTTATGTTTGGCCAGGCCTTAAAGCCGGAAAAGTCCTGGTGGGCCAGTGTGGTCGATGGCATGAAGCAGCGCTACGTTACCTCCTGGAAGGGCATCGATCTCAACCAGATCTGTGCCGCCACCCTACTTTTCGAGGGCGACCTCAAGGATGTGCAACGCCAGGAGGCGCTCATCTACGAGATCGCCGAAATGTTCAAGGGATTTCCGGCGGGCGGACAAAACGGCGAACGCGGCTACATACTAACCTTTGTGATTGCCTACATCAGGGTAAGTTTTTTTTCCTGGTTGAGTTTATAAGTAAAGTTAAGATCAGCATTATTACTATGCAAAGTGTTATTTCCGGTTTTCCGACTTAATGTATGTTTGTTTTGACGTAATATTTCGCTGTCTATTAGTTATCATGGTGTGTGACTAAACACGATTATATACTCAAATAAACGCATTTCATATCTAGACAGTAGGCAGTTCCCTTTTTAAGAGATTAATACATCAACTATATTTTATGAATACGCTTTACTATGTAACATTTTTTTATCATATCTAGTTTGACCATAATTTCCCTAATGTATATCAAATGTGAAATAGGAATAATTACCTAGCTTTTTATTTATAAAGATAGCTATATCAAATTTACTACAAATTAGAGTAATATATTATGATATCATATAATAAATATATCATATATCATTTTACCAATCGCAGTTATGTTTTATTTCTTATAAGTATAAAATAAAGTTTACCTATTGTAATAAGTTTATTTAAGTTTAACCCTACATTGATTTTTCCTTTAAAACTCACTAAAATGTATTTTATTTCTTTTTTTACAGGACTTTGGTCTGCATCAGGGAATTGTGGCGGAGTCCTTTGAGACTTCAGTGCCTTGGGATCGATGTAGTCTGCTCTGCCGTTCTGTTAAGCAGCGGGTGGTTACTGTGAGTACTTAAAGCTAATAATACTTTTAAATATATATTAACTATCTTATGTCTTCATCTATTCAGGAGTGCAAGAAACGCAGCATTAACTTCTACACCATTTCGGCTAGAGTGACCCAAACATATGACGCCGGTGCCTGCATCTACTTCTACTTTGGATTCCGCAGCACAGATGTATCCGATCCCGTGGAGCTGTTTGAGGCCATTGAGCACAGTGCCCGCGATGAGATCCTGTCGTGCGGCGGATCACTGTCCCATCACCATGGCGTTGGAAAAATTCGAAGCCATTGGTACCGCAATGCCGTCACCGAAACGGGAAGTTCACTGTACTCCGCTGCCAAGCGGCATCTCGATCCAAAGAATATCTTTGCTCTGGGTAATCTCCTGCCCCTGGAGGAGGTTCCTTCAAAGGGAGATTCTTCAACAACACCGCCACCGCCATCATCTTCGTCATCGACACCACCAAAGGCCAAACTGTAGAGGGTAGCCCACTTGACTGTGCGCTTAGTTCATTTACTAGTCTTAGTCACTTTACTGATTTCCTAGTCGCTCTTGGGGGTTTGGGTCTCCAGTTCTTTTGTAGCGGGCTCATGTTTTCTATGGGTTTTGATAAATAAATGGAATATTTCTAAGACTTCTGTGTGATCTCTTTGCCGTTTTTGAAAAAGGGTATTTTTAAACGATATAGATATAGATCATTTCTTGACATAAATGGGATTTTTTCCTGTGTATCTTTGGTCATAGACATTTCTGATTTGTGTGTGCGTGTCCCGGCTGCAGACCAAATGCGAATTGCTGATCATTGTCTTCTCATCTGCTCATCGAAGTCATTTGCGGCTTGATGGCGCACCATACCGTCCGTCCAAGAAAAGAGCCAACATCGAAGATCCGTGCGCCCAGAGCCGAGAGATCAAATGTCATCAAGTTGTCAACTTCGTTAGCATGCCACAAGGCAGCGATCGAGCTTGGCTTAAAGATCTTTCTTGGCCTGGCTTGTTGATCAAATGCACAAAGAAAAATTTTGGTACTTTATTCAATAATACGTATATTATATGAATAATGTCTTCTGAAATTATATATTTCAGAAAATGATTCAGGAGTACCCACAAGAAAAATCTTGTTCAGTAAAGCTTAAATAGGAAACACAATTTATCAGTATCGTTTAAAAAGAGTGCCTAAAAGTATGCTTTAAAAATGGAACATACAAAATATTGGAAACGAAAGCCCTAGTAAGTCCAGAATTGACTTTTGTAGCACTCTTAAATATACATACAGGAAAAATCTCTTTCAGTTAAGTTTAAGCAGAAAACACAATTTATTAGGATCGTTTAAAAGAGTGTCCAAAAGTATGCTTCAAAAATGGATTGGATATCTGAAAATAATACTAAACGAAAACCCTAAAAAAACCGGAAGAGATTTTTGTAGCAGTCCAAAATAAGATATTTTGTTAGCATATTATAAAACTGTCAAAAATGATAGTAAGCAGTGATCATTTTTTCACAGTGTGCGAATTAATAGGGGAATGAGGCAACTCCGGCGGCTTATTGATGGTCGAGGAGAAGTCGTCGACTTGGCCTGTCTTGTTACCCTGGCAATGGATACTATATGGCGTATGGTACATACCCCCCCCCCCAGTGCATTTCGGCCAGGCTCACACACACACATGCGGCCTATAAATAAAGATTACAATCAGCAAAAGTGAGCAGAAGAGAAGTCCGTCTAAGCCCCAGCCGGCCGCCTGGAAATTGTCAGCAATTAACCCGCGGGTCAGTCCCGGAAAACGCTGGCAGTCCTGCGTCCAGACCCTGTGATTTATGCCACAGCGTTTGGCCTCCCAGCCAAAAACCCACAATCAAGGCCGGCGGAGAGCGGAGAATTGCGATCCTGACACGTTCGCCAGGCGAAAAACAAAGACAGAATGCTCTTCTACCTGAGGGAGATGGACATAACTCATTTGCATTGAATGAAAGAATGCTGGAGAGGAAGGGGGAGTGTCAGGGCCTCGAGATTATTAAGGAGAAGAAAATAAGAAGTAGGCGCAACTAGACATTAGAGCATCAGCACGTACACTCTCCTTATAGCGAACAAAAGGATTTCTTGTATGTAGAGTAAGAGATGAAAGATAGGAACACTCTCGAAAGCAAGGAAAAAAGTATTTCTAAAGAATTTGGTTCTTGAAACGACCGTTTTAGATCAAATAGTTCACACCCTCCTTATAACTCTATAACAAAAGGAACTAATTATATTTACCGAAAAAACTTTGGTCTGATTCCTTTTCATAGAAATACAATTTGAAAATACTAGGATCTTAATTAAAAGATGGAATATCTAAGGTCATCTTAAAAATTAATAAATATTTTTACAAAGGGATAAACATATTTTACGGTATTTTTATAGCAATACATTTCTAGGATTTGAGTAAGTATTTTTGACTTACCATGTCAACCAAATAAACTTAATATACTATATCATATTATATCCCAAGCAAAAATCGTAATATAATGTGTTAGAAATTATATTCTTAATATTTTTTGTTTGATATACCTAGTATTTTTAATACATTTTCCTCTATATAGAAAACTATGGAAACGCTGGCAACATGCGACTAATAAGCATTGTTGAAGCAACATCCATACGCTCCCTCGTCTGCCGTTTAAGCCAGGCCAGTTAACCCATTGAAGCCTGCCCACTCGAGTGCTCTGCCGGCGTTTTACCTGGTCTTACCTGGGCTTCGTTGCCGAGTGGATTGGCACCTGGCGTTCAGTTGCGAGCAGCGCGGCCAGCGGACAACAACGAAAAAACTGGCGACGCGATTTGAATTTATTCCATATGTATTGTATTGTACCCAATGCAGATCTCGTTAGAACGTTTCGTTTGGCAACACGGAAAGAGTTAAGATACCGGGAGAGCGAGAGATACAATATCCCCCTCCATAAGGTATATATAGAGAGTACGGGAGAGTGAGTGTAAGATCTGGCCGGGTTTATTTTTCCCGGCACTCGGCAGCTGCACAACTTCGGTTGCAGTTGCAGTTCGTACGCGTCGCTTGCAACATCGTATCGCGCATTTCGACTTCAACTCCAAATCCTATACCAAAACCGATTCCAATTTCGATTTTCTCGTTTTTCGAATTTGCAGTTTTTGTGTCTGTGGGAAAATGCGACAAATTATCCGGCTTCGGGTGTTTTTTCGCGTTCATTAAAAAAACGTTTTGTCGCTTGTAATTGAGCGGCAGTTGCTTTTGTTTTGCCTTTAAAAGAGCAGCAAACAGTGAAACAGGTGCGTGAACCGAAACCGAAACAAGTTGTTACAAAAAAACGAGGCAATGGGCATATATAACTTGGCTTGTGTAAAATCATTAAAAGTGCATTAGACAACCTGCCCCAAAGGCGGAAATTCTGAGGCCTTTTCATCAAGCGGCCAACCCGTCACTCAGTCAACCATTCAGTTTGTCAGTTTTAATGCACCTGCAATGACTCGTTGAAAAAATGAATTTGTTGTCAAGAGATGCCCCTTGATGTTGTGCGGACCTCGGAGCCATTAAGAGATACAATTTCGCACTAAAAAACCAACCCACGTCGGGTGGCCAAAGTGCTTTATAAGACCAACAACCCATAAAGTGATCTCAAAAGTCAGCAACGCGCAAAATACACACGCACCTACTATATGATAATCATAAAATCTGGCAAAAGGCATTTGATTTTTGGCTTTTGGTCAGTTGGAGTTTTTTTTCGCAGCTGCAACGCCAACGCTAAATTCTCGGCCGCGATATTTGGTTTATGAGTTCTGTCGGTTTGCGTGGGTTGCTTGGGAATAACTTCGGATCGTATACTAGTGCTAACCTTGGAATGCCTGCTAAGATACACATTTTTTGGTGCTTTATGGAGATTTTTTAGAGCATATTGTGATATGTCGTAAAGAATTTTAAAAGCCCAAAAGTTATTGGTGATCCATAAACTATTAACTTTTAAGATACATTCTGCTGTCTGGAAAGCAATATTATTATTATAAATCTTGCACCATTTCCTTTGAATCACTTTAAAGATATAAATAAATTTAATTTTCAAAATTTTTGTTACCAAAAAATAGTAATAACTTCAATTTCGTTACCTTTCCTGGATATTTATAAGTTAAATTCTGATTATAAGCCCTCCCGCTGCTTTTAAGGTTTATAAATTCCAAGAATGCCCATCCGTGTGTCAGCAATCCTTAGTGGTAACTCGTCATATAAGGTATATTCCCTACGATTTTGCATAAATGTCCAAGTCATGACAAGGCCGCAAAACGTGCCTTTAATGTATCTAATGGATATTTGAACTGCCCATCAGGCTGACATAAAACAAATGTTGCCCATTAGACTGCATGTTCAGCATAAATGAGGCATAAACCCAGAGCAGCAACAATAATCAGTTAACCCTTGCAGAGGCAAACACAACTTCAGTAACTGGATAAGGAAAATGCAGTCAAGGCGCACTTAATTAACATGCAACTGGCAACGTTCGCGTAAACAAAAATAATAAAAACAACGACAGCCACGACAAGTTAACGACAACAACACGTTGAAAAGTGCAATCCGTCGTAATCAAAACAGCACAAAAAATCCCGGGAAAAAAGGTCTCAATCTTGTATTTTTCGCCACAAGGCGACGAAGACGTCCAGCGGTCTAAGTTTTGCCAATCAGTCAGCTAATGATGCTGGGCCAGCAAGATGCATCTGCAACTACAAATGCAACAGCAACTGCGGATGCGCCCTGCAGCTGCTAATTAAACTGCAGCGAGGGGGAGGCGAGGGAGAACAATTGCAGCTGCAACAATCAGCAATTACCGCTTCGACAACATCCCAGCATCAGCAGTTAATAAACCATAATGTAAGTACACTAAAAACGTGGAGGGAACAGCGCTCCAGGTTTATATAATTACTTTTAAAAGGCTACAGGAGCCTCTGAATATCTCTAGAATATTATTGTATAGCACAAAATTACCAATTATATCCAATTAACTGAAGTCTTCCCCCTTCCATTTACCAATAAAAAGTTAAAAAACCCTGATCCTTATATTTTTGCTTTATATTTTAGAACTTGCTCTCCTTTAAGTTGTTTTTCAGACAGTTCCTTAATTTTAGTTTCAAATTCAAACTTTAAAAATCTTCCATTTATCTACAAGAACTCGTAAAATCTTGATCCTTAGATTTATGCTAAAGGTACTATAAATTTATTTTTGAAACTTCCTGTACTTTAATATGTATTCCAGATCCTTTAAATTTACCAATTCAAACTTTAAAACTGTTCTATAAATATTGAAAATAAAAAGTCTTTCTTGATCTTCAAAAAACGATACGTTAGTATACAAAGATGAAGATATAGGGGGTTTTAAAATAATACGAACTAGCACTAACAAAACTTTTAAATAAAATTTTTTTCGGAAAGTTTCAAGGTCTTTAAAGTGATAAAATTAAATTAAATGATTAAAATTTATTTAAAATAATTATGTTTTATTTCTGAATTCTTAAAGCTCATTGTTTTAAAAAAAATAGTTAAGGTGGTCAACTATAAAGTAATTACTCAAATTTATTTTTATTTGATACCAAAAGTATCTTCAATTTAAAATGTATCTTTACTATGTAGCAACATACAATCATTAAAGTACCATTGCCTCAGTTTGCTGCGTGCATTGGCTGTCATTTGACTTTCTTTCGATTCGCTGCAGTAGCAGAAACAGCAGCAGCCACCCCATCGACTTTCTAAGCCAGTTGCCAATTTAGTGCATTTGGCAGATTTGGCCATAGCCAGGAAAACTGGCCAAAAGTGGCAGTGGCTGTCGCCAATTGTTTGCCGGGTCTCCAAGGGGAAGACGCCTGCAGCCCGCGAAGATTGCTGAAGATTGCGGACGGTGGAGTGTAGAGTGCAGACTGCAGACTGTAGACTGTAGACTGTAGACTGCGGACAAAGACGCATTGGAAGACTGGGTCGCGTGTTTGACACAAATGCCGCGAATAGTTTTGAAGGCGGTTTGGCCCCACTGCGATTTATGGTCAAAAGCAGCGTTGACTTGGGCAAACAAGAAGTGTGTTTCTTTTTTGTATGTTTTTTCTGATTTTTCTGCTCTTTGTTTTTGTATGCTGCTTCCTGTGACTGCGCTGATTGCGTTTTAATAAGCCAGGAGATGGCTTTCAGCCATTGCATGTTGGCCTTAAGTAGCAGGAAAAACCAATAACCGGCCCAAGACAAACAGCACGCAAACTTGGCTAGTTGGCTAGTAAGCTCGCGTGCCAATGCGGTAAAACGGTGGGTCACAATGGGTTAAAGTTGCCCATGATGGCCCCCGGGCAATCGCAGATATCTATTTAGTAAATTCCGCCTCGATTGCGGTTTTCTTTCAATGAGCTCAATGCCAAGCTATCGAAGGAATGCTTCTGATCTTGGCAAAGATATTCTAACTATGGGTTTAATAAATTATTGTTAGCATATTGTATTGTAAGTTAAACTCTTATAAATATTAGAGTGCCAACTTTAAAAATAAATTATAATGAAAACTGTGAAAAAAGTATTATGGCTTAAGTCGAAATCAAAATAAAACTTAAGTAGGTAATAATTATACCCGTTACTCGTAGAGTAAAAGGGTATACTAGACTCGTCGGAAAGTATGTAACAGGCAGAAGAAAGCGTTTCCGACCCCATAAAGTATATATATTCTTGATCAGGATCACTAGCCGAGTCGATCTAGCCATGTCCGTCTGTCCGTCTGTCCGTCTGTCCGGATGAACGCTGAGATCTCGGAAACTATGAGGGCTAGGCTATTGAGATTTGGCGTAAAGATTCTTGAGCTTCTTACGCAGCGCAAGTTTGTTTCAGTAGACTGCCACGCCCACTTTAACGCCCACAAACCGCCCGAAACTGTAACTCCTACAGTTTTAATGCTAGATAGAAAATTTTAACTGAAATGTATTGTTCTCATCAATACCTATCGATTGACCTAAAAAAAAGTATGCCACGCCCACTTAAACGCCCACAAACCGCGAAAACCTGTGACGCCCACAATTTGCATACTAGATAAAAAATTTTAACTGAAATGTATTGGTGTCGTCAATACCTATCGATTGATCCAAAAATAAATTTGCCACGCCCACTCTAACGCCCATAACGCTTAAATCTGTCTACCGCCGGTAGGTGGCGCATTTTAATTTCGCTTTGCTGCTTGCATATCTCCATTTCCCTTTGAGTAACGGGTATCTGATAGTCGAGGTACTCGACTATAGCGTTCTTCCTTGTTTTTAATAAGAAAACTGAAAACTGAGTAGAAATATAGTGCCTTAAGTTGAAATCAAATGAAAACTTAAGTAGGTAAATATTTGTATTAAGAAAGATTAGCATTTTACGATAAGCACTTAAAAAATCATATGGATTTTTAGTTTCTTATTTTCATTAATTAAGTTACAAAAGTGTGTTTTTTATGTCTTTTACAGACACGTGCCATTAATATGAAAATTTTAATTACATAATTACTAAGAAATGGTTAAGTACTCTGTGTAAATGTCAAAATCATTTTAATAGACCTGAACTGCCCGATGGCTTGTGAACAATAACTATAGCCCATTAAAAGCTCAATAGACCATTCATGATTTGATGGATTATTGGATATGGTAAAATCTTTTTTTTTTGCCCACATCAAATCGACGTAATAAAAAAAACCCATTTACCAATCGATCTTTGAACAATGGAAAAACTTTTATTGACCAGCAGCTAGAGTTTCCATTTTTTCTGACCAATGTGCGGCGGCGGCGAGGCTTTGATGCCAAAAGATCAATGGAATTGGCTGAGGGTATTTGGCAATTTGTCGCTGAAATACGGCAAGTGTTCGGGTAAGATGCCTGGCATAAGTGGCCGAGTATCTTTTATAAGCCGGGGCTGCAGATACAGCCCATACACATTGCCCAAGATCGATTGGTCTCGGCTCCTAATAGGCTTAAAGTGGTTGGGAAATGCAACTTTGACTGGTTAAAGCCATTCATAGAGCCACTGAGACACTGAGACATAGACCATTGGCCACGCCCGCGTGACCCTCAGACCACATGAACTTGGCTAATCGCATAAACAAACAAATAAAACTGGGTAGCAAAAAGCAACATAGCACCGAACAAGACAGCCAATAAATGTTCGACAGTGCAAAAAGGCCATAATAATAAACTTAAATAGACGGACGAAAAAAAAAAGCCTCCGACTTAATGCTTACAAATTTGTGCGCAGTCGCAGCTTCATAGACGAGGGCAATAACAAGTTTTTCTATGCACTTTGTTGTTTTGCACAGTTTTTGCTTTGTTTTAGTGGCACTCATTAGCCAAGTTATGAACACCAAGTTGCGGCTAAACAGTAGCACAAAAAACAAACAACAGATTTGCGCACCGCAACGAAATATGGCTAAAACACTTAGCCGAATGCAGGGGCACTGGGTGCTAAAAGTTTATGGACAAGAAATAAAATAAACTAGTTTAGTTTTAAAAAATATATACTCTGGAATAAAGTTAAAATAGATACAACTTCATCTTTTTGTGAACAGATTAAATGCAAATGCTAGTGGCTAAAAAATTTTAAAACTTAAATTCCGAAACAAAAAAAATTGTAATTATATATTGAATTTAAGAGCAATAGATTTTATATTAAAACCTTTATAGAAGAGTCTGATTGCTTAGAATCACATAAAAAGATGTATAAGTTTTCCATTATTACTTATAAAACACAGCCAAACAAAACAGACTTCGTCTATTGGTTTTCAAAATGAAATAAAATGTATCTAAAGAAGTCCTAATCGATTTGAAATTCGTTTGCTTTAAAACCGCTTCACAAATGTGTCCGAGATTTCTTGATGATATGAGGGCATTTAAACTAAACGTTTAAGAGGTGTTTTTAAAGCATGTTGTCTAAAGTTTCATTTTCATTTCCACATTTATCTGCAAGTAACCTAATCTTTAATCTATCGTTTGGTCACTTTTAGTACCCACTGTTAGTAGAAATTGGATGCGTTTTGTGGCGTTTTTTCAAGCGTTTAAAAACGCCCCGTTCCCATGGCCCACCCAATCGAGCGTTTCTAATACACACACGTTCGCCGTAATCAATTAAATGAAATCTGAGCCGAGTTTAGCTGGGTCGAAAAAACGCTCTGGGGTTTTCTAATGCCCAGCAACAATTGCTTTTGCTACAAACTTGCTCAAGTCGTGTCACAGGCGGAAAAAAAAAATTGTTTTCTCATTTTCTTTGTATTGTTTTTTTTTTTTTTGGTTTCTCATTTTTGTGGCATTGTTTGAGCGATTTGTTTGAATTTTGCCGCCTTTAGCTGAAGTTCGACTGGAGTCTCGTGGAAGATGCCTCGCCAGCTTTTTGGGGTATTTTGTTCGTCGATTTTTATGTTGTTTTTCAGCTGTGTGTGTGGCTTGGCATTTTATCCCAGTCACGCTGCAAAGTTATTTGCGCCGTCGTGCAGGGACCAAGTTCTCTTCTCTGTTATTATGCCAGCCGGTTTCGTCGTCATAAAGCTGGAAAAAATCAAGGGAAGAATGAGGCAGAGATGAATCGTCTTGGGTCTGCACTTTTCGTGGGTAATCCGAACCCAGAGCATCTTGATGTATGCAGTTGGCGTCATAAACTGTTGCAATTTCAGTACTCCAATATCCCTCGCAATCGGTGAGGTATTTGCAAGATTTTAGATTTAGAATTATATGTGTTATATGTTCTGATAACATACTTTTGAATTTTCAGAAGTTAGAAGTATCGTTCCACATAAAAAAAATATCTAGTGATTTTTCTTAGTGGATTCTTTAAAGGTTTTATATACAAAATAAATATGTAATGATAGTATCCTTAATATACCATTAAAA